AAATCTGTCAACTATGTGAAACAATTTCATGACTTCTCAAATTCGGTGTTCCATGAGTTTTGTGTTTCTTTTCCGTTGTGCTAAGCAGTGGTGTAGCGGTAGATTTATTGTATATGTTGTTGTGAAGGATATTTCATTGGATTGTTCTTTTGCTATTGTGGTATTGTGTTTGGTGTTTACAGCGTGTGCTTTTTAATTCTTGTCAATTGCTGTGCTGATTTTTTGAGACTATTCAACTAATCGACCAAGTTACGTGTGTGGTGTGGAAGGTTGTTATTCCAACAACCTGTCCATTGGAGTACATTTGTTTAGGTTCCCTCAAGATCTTATCAGGTAAGTAAAGAGTAAAAAGGTGAAAATAAAAATTTCAATAAATAATAAAAGCTGCTTCTATAGGTAGGTGTTGAGTTGTTCTAAGAAGTTCTTCCTTCAATTGCATTAGTGTTTAGAGGCAATAAAAGTTCACCATTTTAGCTGATTTATATTCTCTAAATCCTCAAGAGCATTCTTTGAAGAGTTTTTTTCAATACTCTGAAACCAAAAAATCATCTACTTCTGGGAGTTTGTACATGCCCAGTAATGATTTCTTTGAATTAGTTTGTTTTTTGAAGATATTTTCAAAGAAAATTTTGAAAATTATGCAATTGAACGAAATATTTAAAAAACTTCCGTAAATTTATTTTCACAGCTAGAATTTACTCACCCTTGTGCTTCATTCCCCTACTTATACTTTATAAAATTATGCACTAGGATGAAACTATATTATTCATTGAAATTCGCTAATAAAAATTTCCAAACTATCAACGAAAGTGGAGAAGAATTACGCATAGAAAAATAGTTATTTGGAGACATGAATGAATTGATACTTGAAGAATACTTTACTCAAAATTACAAATTTGATATCCATTTGGGGAAGTACAAGAATACTTGTATTGATTCTGTTTTATTTATTTTTACACATTGACATAACTTGTTAATTCGTTGTTTATTTTTGTTATATGTATGTTATATGTATATGTTTATATATCCTTATTATAAACAAAGATGTTTCTTGGGGTAACAATGGACAAAACAACAACAATTATATATGAATAAAATTCATAAATGTCACAATAGATATTTTCCTTCATCACATCCCAAAAGTGCAAAGTGATAGTTTCTACTATGATTCCACCCAAAATGAATAATTTGTTAGATCTTCAACAATTACTTGTGGAAACTCAACACAAAAAATTGTGAAGAATATAAATTTAATCAAATGAGCTCGAATCCGAAATATCTGGTACGCCCATGGATACAAACAAGAAAGGACATGATCTAGTACAGTTGAAGTACATTTTCACGTAGCGACATCTACAGAATAATAGCGGAAGCGCAACCTTAGAATGTATGTTAGGTGGTTGAAGGTCATTGGCGGCCGTTTTCAGAGATCAAAGGATTTTCAGACTTTGCACGAGCGAAGGAATATATATACAGTATGATGCAAATGTATGGAATAAATTCATTTCAAAACAAGACGTCTTCAAAAAAAAATCCAAAAAGTAGAGTTCAGAACTTTTTTATCGATGTATTTTTTCAACTAGACGACCCTTCGATGTTCAATTCTCAGTAGAAGATCTCTGCAAGATTCAGTTAACCAAATATGATAATCCATTTTAATTTCAATCTTCTTTTGCAAAATTTTGACTATTGGATAGATGATCAGTAGACCTTTCAAACGAGGTGTCACATGACCCCTGTTTGTATTTAAAACCCAGACAGCACCAGATATTCCATGAATCTCCCTATCATATTCCTTATGGAATATTGGAATATTCTAGAAATAATCTGGAATATTCTGGAATATCTGTGGAATATTCTCTAAATATGCGAATGGGAATTCCTCAGATATTCATAGAATATATCCAAAAGAATATTCCATGTTGAATATTCCTGGAATATTCCAATAAACATATTCTAAAATAAAAAAAAGTGACCCTAGTAGGGATCGAACTCGTGACCTCAAGACTATCTGACCAACGCCTTGACCACTAGGCCAGTAATCGAATTGAATAATGTTGTACATATCAATATCTTGTGAGAGCGTTGTTCGAAATCGGATTATAAACACTTTTTGTTTCAAAATCCCCTTACATCTAATTTTGATTTTAGATACTCACAACTCTGAAATAATGATGAGTATTTATGTGTTGAGAAACATAGGAATATTCATGGAATATTTCATGAATATACACCACAGAATATTCAGTTGAGAATATTTCATGAATATACCGCACAGAATATTTAGTTGAGAATATTTCATGAATATACCCCACAGAACATTCAGTTGGGAATATTGCATGAATATACAAGAGAGAATATTCATTTGGGAATATTCCTGGAAAATTCATACCTGAATATTCCCTGAACATCACTTTGGAATATCCCTTCTAGATGTTCCAGAGGCATTTATATATTCTAGGAATATATACTCCTCCTTTTTAGCATATTTAGAGAATATTCTAGGAATATCCAGTGCTGTCTGGGAAAAACCGTCCATATTACGTCATTACTCCAACACCGGTGACGTAACATCTCTCATATGAATGTCATGAGATGAGGTTTCAAAAATTAAAACTCACGTGTTTTTGGAATATCTTCAAATGTCGCCCATTTCTGAAATAATGAATTTATTCCATACATTTGCATCATACTGTATATAGAACTTCACATTTTCTCCAGATACTCTCTGCGATGACCACGTCATTCTGACCATCTACCAATTTTGGATTTTCAAATGGAATAATACATTCTGCATTCTGTACATTATTCTATCACTGATTATGTTATTATGATATGGTTATACCATTACGATACCACAAATATACTGACAATATATCAACTTACTTGCCATTATCACTAGTCTTATTATTAGTAATTAATTAAAGAAAAAATGTATTCATCAGATATTCAGTTTTTTTATTCATGATGTAAACTTAAATGCTTAAAGAATAATATTGTATTTTCTGTAGTAGTCCATGCTCAAAGTGGAGTGGAATGATCAATAGAGAAAAAACCCAAAGTCGTCTCCACAATTTTTAATGTATAATCAGGCAGTCAATCCTGCTTCATTAAGGTTGATACATGTTTCGGCCATTCAAATGGCCATCTTCAGTCAAAAGAATATAACAAAGTGTATCTACAATAGAAAACCGAACATGATTTTTTATATAAGAAAAATTGAAAATGAAAAAGACAACAGTTGTAAATTCAAATTGAATTGATTAACAATTTCGGTTAGATCAAAGAGCAACAGTGATTTTTATGAGTATACAATGATAATTGATCAGTAATTGATAATAAAAGTGAAAAACAAAATTTTATCAAATCAAAATTCTAAAAAACAAAATGGAGAACCATAGATAGATCAATTACTGATCAATTATCATTGTATACTCATAAAAATCACTGTTGCTCTTTGATCTAACCGAAATTGTTAATCAATTCAATTTGAATTTACAACTGTTGTCTTTTCCATTTTCAATTTTTCTTATATAAAAAATCATGTTTGGTTTTCTATTGTTAATACACTTTGTTATATTCTTTTGACTGAAGATGGCCATTTGAATGGCCGAAACATGTATCAACCTTAATGATGCAGGATTGACTGCCTGATTATACATTAAAAATTGTGGAGACGACTTTGGGTTTTTTCTCTATTGAATATTGTATTTTATGAATACCTACAGATCACCTACCCAGTGAATCTCCCGAATACTTCAAAGAACTGAATGGAGAATATATCAATTCAAAAAGGTTTTTTTTTTATTCAAAAAATATGTGACAACACATTTCACATTCAACTTGACATTAAAGCATTAATCATAATAAAATTAATACAGGGTATGTATTCCAATTCTAACATACTGTATAGGTATCCCAATTTCATTTTTTCATTTTATGGCCTCAATCTCCAAATCCTCATATCAGTATTCAAAGTGTTAGTTTTGTGTTATTAGACTTTTAATAACATGTGTTGTCAGCCGCGCGTCGCTATAGGCGTTGATTGATATATTGCGTAAGCGTAATATATCAATCAACGCTATAGGTGATGGGCACAGTTGATGTTTGCCCGCGTGTGCGTCTCGCTTGGCGCGGTTCTCCCACTACGTTGTTTATACAAATACCTCCTTGCGCTAGACGCTAGTCTTAGATTACAGCGAAACTTGTCACTTTCCGAGTCTAGTCGAGACGTTTTATCGAGCGAGTCTGTCGAGCGAATATCTTCGATTCTTCGATCCAATTTTCAGCGGATAAAATATCATTCCTACTATACGAGGTACGCTCCATATATTTTGAAGAATATGAAACACAGCCGGTCTCGCGATAATTATAAATTCAATGTGAAGGCAAAAATATGAAGTGTGAAAATAAAAAGAAAAAATAAGATAATAATTAGACAAATACAAAGAAAAAACATAAAATTGAGGAAGACGGAGCACTGAGTAACACTTTGAAATCATTGGAACACCGTAGGAAGGTCGGCAACCTTCCACTTTTTCATCGATACTTCCACGGGAATTGTTCTTCAAAAATCTCTGCATCATCCCACGACTAGCAATACCAGCCAGACGAACTCGAAAAGTGCAGTCAGCACATCCTTTTGTTGTCAACCTCGAAATTTGTCAAACAGCACTATATCAAAACTCGTTTCTCTATAGAACGGAAAAGCTCTGGAATTCATTGCATATGGAAGTGTTTCCAAGAACTTATAATCTCCAAACGTTCAAAAAAATGTCTACCCCTACCTCCTCTCCTATATCCTCCCTATGTACGCACGATGTTCTTCGAACATTATAGTGATTCCCTTTCGTGCGCACCAAGCGATAAAGAAACACGACATGGAGGCTGAATTTTGCTGTTAGCAAAAGTTGATACATTTATAATCATAATGACGTGCCATAAGAATACTATCCTAGTCATTGTAGGTAACTATTTATTAATTTTTTCTTGTAACTCACCTCTTTAAGAATATGTTCCATTTTCTTTGGCCAGTCGACTCCCGGAAATACTCCCAATGCTGGTCTATTCACCATAGTTTTCTGAAGAAAAAATTAGTTTTGAATACTTATAAGTGTATATTCATACAATGAAATCAATACTTGTTCCGATTAATCAAAACTATTTTTGTTCATTTAAAACTTTTTCATATTCAATAAAAAACTGTGTTTTATTCAATAATTATTTATAGAGATCAAAAACAACATTGCGAATTCAACGACAAAAATACTGGGTTGGAATGTTGGATCTATTGACATATTACCTATGTCTAACGACTACAAAGAGATGGTCAAGAAAATGATGCAGAAGTGTCATGTTTGCACAAGTTTTTGTCGTTCAATTTGAAACTCTGATTTCTCATACATTTTTACGTGATATCCGTTTTCTGCTTACCAGGTTATGTTCATTCTGGAACACTTTCAAAAGTTCAGGGTGATTGTATCCGATTGGCACCGTGGATATTTGTGTATAAGTATCCAATAAAACGTTATCGTCTGCATCAACTAGATAATTTCCTATAGACTTGTCGTAATCTCCTAGAAATTGAATGGATCCAAGAAACTGAAATGAATGAAAAATCGCATTCTCTATCAAAAAATCAGGAAACATTCAATAGATTGGGTTTTCTAGTGAGAGTTGTTTTTTCAATGCGTGCATGAAAAAGTTAAAAATTGCTATTTTTCATACTCACGTCTTCACTCTGTAGCATGTAAACAAAAATGTGGAATTATTTTAACATTATAGAGCCATGATCATCGATATCGAATCACAACACAATATAGAAAAATTCATACTCATGATTGTATTTAGGAACAATGTTGATATGACAATAATGATAATAATAAATCCCCTTTTATTTTTAAGACAGAGAGGTTTATGCAACCGGCCCTGATCGTACTCAATTGAATCGTTTTTTTCAATTACTTATGATATTTTTGTTTTTTGATGTATGACAAATCGATATTCATCATACAGGACGTGGAAAGAAATGAGATGAATTATGAACATGACAAAATTTACATATATATATACAGGGTGTCCCATAAGTCGAGGATCAAGAGAAGTGGGGTGGTAGGAGGGGTGATTTCAAATCAAACTAACCGTATATGTGGTTATCCAATTGTTGATGGTTCAAAAATCATTAATGTTTTTTTATTACTATAAAAAGAATAAACTACAAAAAATCTATGTCACATTTGTGATTTTCTCTTTCATAAATTTCATCCACATGGATGCACCTTTCACCAGAAATAATTTAATGACATGTATTACTTCTTATCAATTACCTGAGAAAAATGTTGTTTCCTTGAGTTTTGTCATCAAATGAAATATTTAAGTTGATTTTCAAATGCCGCTGGCAGATTTGAAAACAACCCCACGAAGATAACCAAGCATATAAAAAAGTTGCCCATTCAATACAGATCCAAAATGGTATAACATATGGGGTTATTCAGAACAGCCTTCTTGTTATAAATTTTTTTCGAATGGGTCACATTTTTCAGAAAAAATCAATAATTGAACCATCAACAATTTGATAACAACATATACCGTTAGTTTGATTACAAATTACCCCCCCCCCCCTACCACCCCACTTCTTTTGAACCATTACTTATGGGACACCCTGTATATATAAAGAAACACATTGAGAATTCGCATTCTCTATGTGATAAAAATATCAATTCTTACTCGGTTTATTCAACAGAAAACAACTACTTTCCTGGCTATATGCCACGATTAGGTTTTTTCAACCTTTCTTCAAATTTCTTACCACGTCCTGTATGATCAATATCAATTTGCCATACATCCAAAAACAAACAACCAGATGACAGGGTTTGAATGTCAACAAATAATTCTCAGATGTCAGATTCATTATAGTTCAAGTTATATTGAAGAGAGATGGAAATTGTGTACATTATCATGAAGAATGGCTGAAGGAATAACTGGACGTCAGAATACTGATGAGGGTTTGATATTCGAAATGAGTTCATCCGAATAAAGTCATATAACCTGTTAGTGAGAGATATAATTCTCATATCACTGACACGAATGATTTTTTTGGAAGTTTCAAGCTCATCAAAATCATAGTTTAAATAAGTATACTTCTTTTCTTGTCTCATAAGATCAAAAGGCAAAGTTCAACTCGCCGATAAATCGACAGCTGCTCTTCCACTCAACCATATGACTCATTCACGGATTTGAATACTTGTCGTGCGACCACCACATGAGTTTAACACTGGTCCATCGGATATTATCTTTAGACAGGGACGAAATATTCTCGGATATATTGACACTCTGCCACTAACTTAGATTAGTTTGAATCGCGACATGTTTGGATTTTCGCAAAGGGGACATTATCCCCTTTTATTTGCTTCTTGTTTCAACTCGTTATCACATGACGGAAGTATGTCCGGAATAATGGCATCGAATACATCTTTTTTATTATTTATAGAGATAATATCAATTCTCGATTTCAGAGGATTTTGATTTTTCATGCTCCCTTTTTGGATATTTAACAGATATAATTCAATGTTCGACGTAGCAAATAGCCAGGAAAGTAATTGTTTTCTGTTAAATATTCAGAATGATATTATGTGTGTATCTTTAGATGAAGGAGAATGCAGATTTTCTACTTCAGAAGATTTTGTTTTCAAATTCTTATCGTGTGTTCAATAGATATAATTCAATGTTCGTCGTGGCATATAGCCAGGAAAGTAGTTGTTTTCTGCTGAATAAACCGAGAAAGAATTAATATTTTCATCACATGGAAAATGCGAATTTTCAATGTATTTCTTTATATACACAGGGTGTCCCAAAATTAGCCTGCCAAACTTCACCAGCGGCTTCTACGATAAAAAATAGGAAGGAAAGTTTCCATGAACATGAGACGAGAACTGTCTCCTAAAAGAGCTATGGCCCCCTGAAAGGGGGCTCCTGAAGATGATATTTCTTGAGTATTTCCCAAACCCCGTCGTTTTATAGAAAGATGCAATTTGGTACAAGAACTATACGTTTCATGACCAATGCAGTGAGAATGAAATCATTTCAAAATTTCACTCAGGAGTGTATAATACAGGGTGGGACTACATTAGATATTGCTCGAAATTTTTTGTACGAATATCGTTCGACACAATTAATCTCGGATTATGAGAATCCATATCATCTCACAAAAAAAAGTGCTCTTGTTCCTCATCGATCAGATGTATCATTTTCGAGTGAAATCGATTAAAAAATATTGATACACTCACATCTTATGGATAACGTTGCCAATTTCCAAATCATAATGGCTATAAAAAAATCAACTACTTATTTTCCACCAAATAATCTCATTAAAAGCGTGAAAATAGGAGAATGACGTTAAAGAAACGACCCAGCAAACACGTTACATCACATGGCAGTTTCGCGAAGTCCCAAATTGCAAATGGAAATATGTTTACAGTTTGATTACGCATATTTGTTCTGAACGTGGTTACATTGAGACTTCGCTTTGTTAACAAAAAATATAAGATGCAGTGATAATTATTTCAAGATAATAATAAACAACCACAATGTCATTATCACAAAATATGTTGAATTTCTAGTTGAAAAAATCGTCATCGAGAAACATCGCGAAGAAGTCTATCCGAGAAAGTCACCATATTAAAAGGAATAGAATGTAGAAGTCTCAGAGAATCCTCGCATGAATGTGCCAAAAGTGATTGTAATTGAGACATTCATTGTCTCAAAAACTGCCACAGTGACTTTACGGATATATGTTTTATTTGGGCTATTTTTCCAAATCTCAATTTGAACAACACAATTAATGAAATGCGTATTTGATGTCGCGGACATTTTGCTGCAAATAAGAGCGGGAGGAGATGTTTTTCGTACATCGCACGCGGATTTTAGTTGCAAAATTACTTCCATAGTACTTTACAGTTACTGCCCTGTGTTTGCTGGGGACTTCAATTTTTGTGCATTTTTTTTCCATTTTCACTACGACTCATTGCAATGTTATGCATAATATCTGAGATGTAACAATGTTTTTGAATCGCTTTTACTTGATAAGGATATATCTGACCGATGCGGAACAAGAGCACCTTTTTTTTGTGAAATGATATGGATTTTTATAATCCGAGATTAAATTGTCGAAAAATATGCATTAAACAATTTTGAGCAACATAGATGAAAACCCAAAGTCATCTCCACAACTTTTATTTAATGATCATAGATCATAATATAAGGGAACATGTTTCGGGCTTATATAAGCCCATCATCAGCCAAGAAAATGTAAAGTTCTAGAAAAGACAGATTTTGACCTATGGTATGATACAATAATATTTTACTTACATGGAAGTGAAAAATGTTGCAATGTGTATAAAATAAGCAATAACGGAGCAAGCAAAGGCCATTGCTCCATGATCTGGAAAAGGAACAGTGAAAATTTTTGAAGAAATATCAATATGAGCGAAACTTACTGTTTATATAATAAAAATGTTTTTGAAAAATTTTAAAATGTTGAAGGTTTAGTGGTCGGGAACATATTTAAGGTTCATGTAAACCCACGTGAAAAAAAACGGCAAGTTCAAAAATTTTGAAAAAAATCTGGTATATCAAGGTTTTTAATTGAAAACTTCTGTGAGATTTTGATGAAAATCTATCGAACGAATTTTGAGAAAAAAAACTAAAACTCCTTTTTTTATAGGTTTTTTTTAGTTTTCACAAAAACTGTTCGATGAATTTTTGTCAAAATCTCACAGCAGTTTTTAACAAAGAATTAAAATATGCCTGATTTTTTTGAAAATTTTTGAACTTACAGTTTTCCTACAATAGTGAATTAATCATTGAAAGTTGCTGTAAAATCTATATTATTCGAAAAATATGATATATTTTGATTATTCATGTAAGATGTAACGAATACGGATTACTTGAATCCTATTTCAGTCATAAACAATGATTTATTCGATTTTAAAATAGGGTTTTCAAAACCCCTTACCAAATTCCTCTCAAATAGATTAATCGCTCCAGCAGGTGCTGCCTCTGCTGGTAATAGTCATAATCTAAAGTAGTTTCGCTACTGTCCACGAGTATCGCATAAAATGTCTGACCATCATAATATTTGTCGTACAGCGTTGCCAATACGCCTAGACAAAGATAACCGATAAATGCTGATTGTTTCTAGCAAATCCTTCAGAAAATCGTCTATGGACACATTTTCCCTTTTTGACTTGTGAATATTGAATACATTCGCGGGCCTAATAAAGGGGGGGATGGGTCGTGTTGAACTATTTCATATTCATATGAAGATTAAGTCAATTCAGTTGATTATTGTGATGAACAATGAATGCTTCGCAGATGAATTTTTTTATTAATAAAGAAAATGCCTTTCGAATTAGAAGTTTGGTTTTTCGGACATGCATCATGCACTTCATGTACCGGGAAGTGAAAATTTCATCCGAAATAATAATCTTCATCTTCATTGTGTCATCAACTTGCTCATGGAAGTGCCCCAAATGTTAGGGGCCTCTTCAGATTTTTATTATCCACCATAATGCCCATCTATGGAGGTTTTCATGGTTATTCCT